TATATTAAAATGTACAATTTGTATTAAAATATTCACCACAGGTTCCATCATTTTAAATTTATGGGTAATTTTTTTTTCTGTATTTCATGCATGAAGTGGTTAATTCTTGAAAGGAACCCCACTGACATCAGTCACCTTGTTTTTTCAGGATCTCCCACAGAAATGTGTGTGGTTGGAGTTTGAAAGTCCTCAGTATTTAACAAGAAAATAAAAAGTTTTGAGTACCTGTATTATTATGACAGGATTTTGGTAATGTGCAATTTTTTTTTTCAGTCTCAAAAATTCAATAAGTGTGAAAAGGATGTTCCTTAGCTAAGCAACAGTGGTAGATACTACATGCATCAAACTGCATGAGCTACCTGTTGATAAAAAGACGAGCCACTCTGCATGTGTTTCTTTCAGCACAGACTAGATATGCAGAGAATGTTTTCTGAATTGTGATTCTTCCCCAAGCAAGATCTAGAGTATCTTGAACTTGTTCTGGAAGCTATGACTGCCCCCTTCAATTTGTTCCTGTTGTTCAGGTGTTTGCTGAGAAGATGGGTTTGGAGACGGGCTGGAATTGCCACATCTCCCTGACACCGAATGGTGATGGCCAAGGCTGTGACCTCCCTCCTTCCAGCCCCAGCCATGCTGGCTCTCTGCACGATGATTTGCATCAAGGTGCTCCTTTCTTAATAGCCTTTTCTCTCCATCTCTGCTGCGGGCAGGCCGTCCGCCTGCCTGCCTGCCTCTCTGCTGCGGGCAGGCCGTCCGCCTGCCTGCTGTGAGCTGGGTGCCTCATCATTGTATCTTTTCTCTCTTCTTCATAGTTCTCTGTCTTAGAACAGGTTGTCATTCTTAGTGCTCCTTCTTCAGTGTAGTCTGAGCTGTGCTTCTGATTGCCTCAGTGGCATGTTTGTCTCTAATCTCTATTTGCAGACTCTCGTGATGAGGCAGAGGGTCCTCTGCTGTTGGAGGAGGAAGGTCACTCAGATCTCATCAGCTTCCAGCCCACAGACAGTGACATACCCAGCTTCTTGGAGGACTGTAATCGGGTAGGCCCCGTGAAGCTCACTCTTTGAATCTCACCAGCCTTGAAACATATGACTGTGTGGTTCTGGAAAATCAATAAAGCTTTTAAATGACAGTACAGTTCATGCAATCCTTTTTTTTTTACATAGAGCTTGCTTGTTTGGTTTCCAGTAATGTTCTAATTCACAAATTGGAGGCTCAATTGCAGAAGGTTCTCTGTCATGTCTTGGTTGTTTGTTCACCAAACTTGTAACTTTTTATTTTTTGAGAGGCATTGAAATGCAATAAATGACCATTGGAACCAGTCAATAAACCAGTCCTTCCAGTTTTGTCTGTCCACAACTTTAGAATTGGAGTTAAATACCATTTGTGAATTCATAGTGCTCTTTATAAAATGACAATTTCTAAGAATATTTTTCCGAAGCTCTGCTTTTTCAAATTGCCTGGGGTAACACGTTATTGCATCTTCCAGTCCTTAGGATTGCTTTGGATTTGCTTTTTTCCGTGCCTTAGATAGTGTGTGTACCATGATCTCCTGCTTTAGTCTTTGACTGTGTGTCCTGGCTAGCCTGCATCAGTGACGGAGTGCAACAATCCCCCATCACCACTCTCTATCCTGCCAGGCCAAACTGCCTCGGGGGATCCACCAGGTGCGTCCCCACTTGAAGAACATTGACAATGTGCCTCTGCTGGTGCCCCTTTTCACTGACTGCACCCCAGAAAGTAAGTGTCAGTAGGCCACAATTCTTTACAGTCTTCTTTGTTGCCCTGTACTGAACTCTTTTAAAAAACATGACTGTATTTTTTTAAAGGTTGGTTGTTTCTGAGTACCCAGTGCAGAGTACAGAGGATTCCTTCCTCTTCAGTCCCCTGGGGGGGGTTCTAGGTTAATAATCACGTGACATCTGCCTTTTGCAGCCATGTGTGAGATGATGAAGATCATGCAGGAGAACCGTGAGGTTACCTGCTGCCTGGGAAGCTCAGCTAACTTCAGGAACAGCTGTCTTTTCCTGCAGAGTGATGTCAGGTATGGGCACTGGAGCAGCTGAAGGGCTGCATCCTGCCTTTTGTTATTGGTGATAACTGAGGCAGTCGGAAAGTACAGTGTTCATATCTGGTACATTACATAAAAAATCTCCTATTTCTGTAGGCTAGATAAACTTGTAATTGGTCAATTAAGAATATAGTCCTTTCAATAAGGGAAACGTGTCATCAAGGACTGAAGATGATTTAAGGTTACACATATAAACCTCTTTTGCAGTGGTTTTTGCTTTGCATTTAACTTTACTCTTCTTTTATTTTACAGTGCTTTCATTGCACATTACTACACTAGTCTACAACATATTAGAAAAGCTTACAATATTGGCACTGTAATTGTCTTCTATTGTATAGAGGCTACTGCTTGTGACGTAAAAGACTGGTAAATTTACAACATGGGAAACCATAGTCAGTTTGTGAAAAATGTGGAGGGATATAGAGGAAATCCCAGATGAGGATGGAAACTTCTTTGTGTCCCTAATTGCTCAGATAATACACGTTCAGGCCTGGATCATGTCATCAGTCAGCTATGACCAACATTTTCCAGGTGGTGGCATGTAATTGGCTGAACACCTTGGAAGGGTATCTTTGGGATTAGCTAGCCAGTCTTCGGAAATGGCAACTCCCGTCTCTGTGAGAAACACCCCTCTCCCCGAGTTCGCATAGAGTGTCCCATAGGGCTCCGGGAAGCTGGTAGGCATCGGGTGTCCAGTTGTGCTCTGGGAAGGTCATAGCATGACAAAAGATGAAAAGAACAATGGTGGGGCAGTTTGGAGGATGATGTCTGCCCATGATTGTTTTTCCTGTGCTGGACAGGAGGTATTGATATATTGCATGATGGCCTGAAGAAACAATTGGTAATTCTAATCTGGTTAATAAAATTAAATATGATCATGTTAATGTGGTTTTCACTGCAGGCCTTGGCTCATCATTTGTCATCTAGTTGGCGATGCAAGCTTGAATTTTCAAGTATAAACATAGTTTTAAGTAATGTATTAAAAAACTCTGGAAAAACTCTAGCAAGTGATTTATTTTGGCTTTTCCTAGATAAACCTGCCTAGAAATAACACTGATAGTTGAATCCTGCATTCTGCTACCAATTGATGCTTTTAACATATCCTACAAGGATAAAAAAGTTATTTTGAAGCCTTCAAGTCTGCTCATTGACTAATGTGTGTTGACAGCATTGCCTTGGACCCTCTGTACCCCTCTCGCTGCTCCTGGGAGACGTTTGGCTATGCAGCCACTAATAGCCTAGTGGATTCGGAGGAGCTCTCCCCTCTGCAGCTGTCCGGCCTCCTCAACAGCCTGGCCTGCTCTGCTTCCTTCCACCAGGAGGAGAGTGTCAGTGTGGTCAAACTCATTGAGCAGGTACCCGTATCAGCACACAGGGATGTATTTCTGCACTTGGGAGGACCTCCCACTGTGTCTCAGTCTTTCTCCATTGTAAGACACATAATCATTTCTGTTGGCTCTCTTAGATTTTAAAGATGATTACATTTCGTTTATAAAAAAAACAGTAACTTGCCTTTTAAAAAACGTCGTGACTGGTCCTTGCAGTGCCTTGTTTCTTGTGTCTTAATGAGAACATCCTGATTTGTGAGGATATATTTTTTAAAGTTGGTCCTCGTAAATATCATCATACATGAACACAGTACAGCCTTGAACTAATAAAACTCATGTAGTTTTCCATCAACACATATGTCAGCAAAACACACACACATATATACATATACAGGCTTCACTGCAGGGTTGGTGTGGTTGAACTCAATTCAGCCACAGTACATTGTTAGTCTGTGCTATGGAAAAGTTTGGCAGGTAGAGCAAAAGCAGTCTGGCTAAGTTTGGAAATGTTGAGGCTATTCATGACCTTCTCAAACTCCTCCATGCTCTTGCTGGGTTAAGACCGCAATCCTCACCCACAGTGGGGACTAAGTGACTTGTATAGGCATGAGCTGGGTAGACCAGGCACTCTTCAGGTGGGGGCGAAGATCTTCTTGTGCATTGAATATTGACCGTACAAGGTTGCAGCACAACATTGCTGGAAATCAGCAGGAGTGCCACAACGTTACTGGATCACATACCTATGAAGAATATGGTGATACTCTTAACTATAATTATACATTGGGGAAGCTCATGGGAGCCATGGTACTGCAGTGTAATCAGGCTTGGATAGTAGCTCCCTGTTCCTCTGTTTCAGGCTCGCCACACCACCTATGGCATCAGAAAATGTTTCCTTTTCCTGCTGCAGTGCCAGCTTACCCTTGTCATAATCCAGGTGAGTGCGGCACAGCATTGAAAGGGAATCTAGGAGGGTTTGACATTGCAAGATGTGAGCAGGTGCCAGATTGTGTTGTCAGGTCTGCTTTTTCAATGTTGGTTATGTGGAATACAATGGTTAGGAGAGTACGGCTAGGATCCAGGAGAATGTGCCTCAAAGCTCAGTGCTTTCGGTCTGTCAGACTTAAATTTACCAAGTTTATGCCCTGTGAGAAGAGCTTTAAACTGCTTTTGAAATACTTAAATGATTGCCCCACTCTAGACACTGGACAGATGGAGGAAATTCCACAAGAATCTGTGGCTCAGAGATAACACGGCCCTGGATGGTTTACCATTTTCATTTCAAAAGACCCATCGTTCTGGTGGTTTAGAGCCATTCCTGATCATATGATTTTTTAAAGGACTGGCCTCCTAAAAGTAAGACCTGCATAGTTATTCTAGAAACCATCTCCAGCTGTCACGGAGCACTGATGTACGGTAATGTGTAAAAACTTTGACAGTAGTGTCTGTTGTCTGCCTAGTTCCTGGCTTGTCTCCTCCAGCTCCCTCCTCCCATCAACATCACTGACCTGCTGTGGCTCTCCTGCTTCTGCTACCCTCTTCTCAGGTGAGAGACCCTGCAAAGAGCTTAGAGATCCACTGGAAATGAAAAGGCTGAGAAAAGAGGGACCTGAGTTCTTTACCTCCTGTGGCACCACATTGCAGCAGCAGATTACTGTAATTTACAAGACTGAATTCTAAGTCTCAGTGCATCCAATTAAAGTACACCACACCCCTAATTTTATCGGGCGTAAAAGTCGGGCATAAGCTTTAGCTGATCCGCGAAACGCATATAGAGAATTACCATTCGGTAAACAATTACTATAAAAACATTTTGCTTAATAAAATAATCATCATCAAAATATACCATACACTTAAAATTACACAGTGCAGTAAATAATAAAATAAACATTAGAGAGTTACCTTTTAACAGTTTTAGATGTACGGTACTGTACATTTTATTACTCTGTACTGAAAACTGTACTCTGTTCAGTAAGCACAAAATACACAGCAGATAATAAAATCACTGACATGTTTGCAATACAGATTTTTCTGTCAAGACAATTTTTGTCAAAAAGTGTGAGATGATATACGGTTGGTGCCCCATGCTTTTGAAAACAAAGGGAGTCTGTGTTGTGTGTGTCTGTGGCAGTGTGTCGTTCCTGGGAAAGCCTGCTGACAGCTTGGTGATGACTGTGGCCACAGGGAAGAACCTGGACTCCATTCCCAGGAAGGTGAGTCCTCTTACTCGCAATGGGTCGCACACTAACTCTGTCTCTCTACTCCTCAGCCCTTACACCCGGACACTGTGAGGCTCTGCTCAAGAAATGTTCATCAATTTTTAACAGTTTTCCATCTAAAGTTATGTTCTCTGTCATATTGTTTGGTGTCTGAGCTGTGATTATGTACATTTTCTGTTTTGTTCTCACTCGTTCCATGTGGGCTTTCAGTGGTGGACAGAGGCACATAGTTAATCAATGTATGTGATCAGTTAATAGGACATCAGGTATCTTGGTTGTTATGTCAGGCAAATGTCAATTTGTGGCCCTTCACTCACTGCGCATACAGTGTGCTGCATTTACTGTACTCTCTAGAACCAGCTCATCTAGCCGTGGGGAAAAAGCAATTGAGTTTCCTTGCTCACTTATTTCTGATGGCTAATGATCATTGGCTCTTCCTGGGGTGGGAGTTTAGCAGTGACAGATGTCGGTTCATTTACTGTATACACTGTAAGTAGGGTATATGTAATGTTTATGTACATTGTGCAAGACCTCATAGCAGTTGCATAGTTTCTCTGTAGCCGTGGAAGGATTAGTAAAGGACCCTGGTGTCAAACTGTAGGCACATTGTGTTGGGTGCAACTTTTACAGTAATTGGACTGATGTGCACAAAAAATGTCACCCACGTTTTGAGTTGATAGATGAGCTCTGCAGCACAATAAGGGAACGTTGTGTGTTTTTCACTGGTCCTGACAGACACAACAGTATTTCCTAGTGTGTTTCCTGCTGAAGTTCAGCCTAACTATGTGTGCCTACCTGGTGGGCTTTGGCTTCACCCTGGAGGGGTTTTGCAACACTGGCAGTGTGAACTCGACCAACTGCTCCATCCTTTCCAAGAGGTGAGTGCCTTCTCCTGCACTGGGGACATTTTGCCTGTTAGTATGTTACCTTCTATTTTGGTCACATTATACAGTAGCTAGCCATTTGCTAGATGTGACCTGCTGTCCCTCTTATAGAGTCTGCAGGTCTGCTTCTGTAGATAAGGTCATTAACCAACTGGACAAGCTCTACTATAGCCTTTTAAAAAGGCATAGATAGCATATTAATGTGCATTATTTTGCACATTCAAGAAGAAACTGAGCTATTTACCAGAATCAAAATCAATTTGGTTTGGGAAGAACAGGTCACCTGCTGTATATTTCTGTTTTAGTATTGATAGTATTATGATGGATTTCCCAACAGACCTTTATAGTTTTTAGAAATCTTAGAAAAGGATTTTGCTACATGAAGTTGCTACAGTATATCTGCAGTAGGCACAGCAAGCCCCCTTTGGTGGTCTGGTGTGTCTGCTAATCGCTGTGTGTTTTGACACTGTTTTTTCAGTTCTGTTCAGGATGCCCCCAAGTGGTATGGGGAGTTCTCCAATGGTTTGCTGTTGATACAGAAGGTGATGGCGGGATTCCTGGCACTTCACACAGGTGCTGCACCTCTCGATAAAGACCACAATTAAAACAATACACAGACACAACAATCAGCCACATGTGCCTTCTGAAAACAGACACAGCACAGAGCAGCAAGCACAATCTTTACACAGACACAGCACTGAGCCACACATGCCTTCCTAACAGACATTGCACCAAGCAGCAAGTGCAACCATAACACTGATACAGCACTGACTCACATGTCTTTTGAAAACAGATGCAGCACTGAGCAGCAAACACTTCCTTAACACAGACACAGCACTGAGCAGCAAGCACATCCTTAATACCAATAGTCAAATGGTAAATCTAAGTGATAGAGTTCTAAAAGTGCCTTACTTTTGCAAACTGGCTGAGATCCATAGTCACTAACCAATAAATCATCTAAATGCACTGCTTCAGAAATGCAATAATGAGTTTACTGTAATACTGTAAAGAAAGTAGAAAGTGATCTAAGCAATAACAGTCACAGCAATAGAGATATTGACCACCATATATTGATGACACATTGATGCTTCATCCCAAGGACGGACCAAGTAACTTTACCAGGGTGACACACATTGTGCCAGTGGAAGAGCCAGGTCTTGATGGTTCTCCCTACAAACCCCTGTAAAATGCAGATAAAATTGTGTGGACTTCTTAGCTACTGTAGCTTCTCAAGAGAAGGTATTCAGGATGGATGCTTTCAGAAGATCTCTTTGAGCATCTCCTTCTCCTGACTGCAATGTGCATGGGGTCATTTGTTGAGAATTCTGGTGCTCTTCCATGTTGTTCTGCTGGTGACTCCCCTACCTCTCTGTCTCTGTTCTCTCTCTGGTTCAGTGGTGATCTCCCTCAGTCACGTCCACCGCTCCAAACCCCTTTGGAGAAAGAGCCCCTTCAGCAACACCTGGTGGTGCCTGACTGTTCCTGTGGTGTAAGTCTCTCCGTATTCTCCTTGTGGTCTCAATCTTGTCATGCATGTCCCAGCACCAGCTCTGCTGTTTCTTTGTGCCTCTGTACAGCTACAGTATACAGTGAGTTTGTGAGCTTGTACTTGTCAGTGCCTGTTCTGGGTTTTTCTGCCAGTGTGCTGTACTCTATTCGCATATTATAGTATGTCTAAAGTTAAAAGCACTTCCTATACTTTTCCAAGAATGCAACTCCCTGGATAGAATTGATATCTGCAGCAACATTACACAAACAAGCCAAGTTTTCCAGAAGCCAGTTAACCTGGCAGAGAAGAGAACATACAGACCCCATATAGATAGCACCACTGGTCTGGACTTGAACCCAGGGTCCCAAAGCTGCGAGGCTGCGGCTCTAACCACTGCACAGCTGTGCCACCCATTGTTGTATTCTTATTGTTGTTTTACAGAATCCAATTCTTTTATGCAAGCACCTAGGGTAAAAGATTCTAATTTCTTTGTTAAGAAAATGCCTATTTTGTATGAGGAAAGGTGTTGTTTAGCACAAGGCATCTCACCTCACACTAGCATCTACCAAGACAACAGGCCAGCTGCACCTGAACAGAGACTGATGGCTGTCCAGCACGTCTGTGTCCACTGATAGGGCATCATAAGCTGCTGCTAATGTAAAGCTCCTGAAAGATTTTGCCAGACACTTGTAGGAAAAGGTACTGCTAAGACAGTGATTCAGAGGGGATAAAGCAAGAGTGAAAGCCTTGCTAGGACTCGCAGACCTATGTATCAAGAGCATTATTTTGTCATTCACCTTGGTTCAGACAACAGCCTTATAACATTATGTACTTGCAGTTAAAACACTTTTCATCCATTTTCTTTGGGAAATACACAATGAAAATGAACTAAGCAGCACGATCGTGTTTTGTAAGTGCTGCGGTTGCTAATGAGAGGCTGTGTATAGGTGTTTTTGTACTGTAATTCGTTTGGGGAATTGGTTGGATCAGGTCTGGTTTATCATCACGGGGTCATCTGAGTACAGCAATAAAGTTAAAAAAAAAGTACCTTCAGTACAAATCCAAAATAAAAAAACTATAAAGCAAAATGGCTAAAATATCAGACAATTACAGAATGTTTTGCATACAGAATGAAAAACATAAAGCGTAAAGACCAGAACAGTACAAAAAACAAAAACTAAGAAGTCAGCATAGCAGTGCACTGTATATTTGTCATGTTTCAGATTTAAATAGCATTAAAAGTCTGTCTCATGAACAGTGTAGACGTCAACGACGAGGTCCGTTTAACTGGCTTGTCTACTGTGGGGTTGCAGGTTGCTGGGACAGGTGGTCCAGGCCACAGTGGATTTCCAGGTGTGGAAGAACCGCCAGTCCTCTGTGACCTTTACCCTGGAAGATATCCCCCTGCTGGTGTGGCTGCTGATGTCATTGTCTCTGCTGCTGGTGGTGCTAGTGAATGAGGTGGTGAAACTGCATGAGATCAGGTATGATGCAGAGAGATGTCCGATACAGAGATCGAGAGGGGGGGACTGGAGAGATTGGACAAGTACAGAGAAAGTGGGGCTTTAATTTTAACTACTTGCGTTAGCTATTGAAAAAAAAACTACAATTTTCAGAGGCTGCAAACCAGGGGTTGTCAAAGCCTGGTATGATGGTTGGTTCATCTGCAGGTCTTTATCTCAACTTAGCTCTTAATTGCCTTATCAGCTTATTATTGTCTGAATTGGTTGAGGGATAGTGCTGTACCAAGATCTAGAAAATCTGCAAGGACAAGGATTGGACACCCCCGCCTCAAATCATTATAGGATGGACAGTTTGAGGGTTGTTTAGCAGTGTTGCACGTTGCATACTGCAACCGTTGTGTTAAACACGAATCTAGTGGTAATTTAAAAATAGTGCTTTCCCTTTGTGAAGGTTTAGAAGAGTCCAATAAAAAATAAAAAATACCCAATGTCTTTTGTGGTTTGTGTTCTGACAGACTTAAGTGAAGTACCTCTCATCTCTCTGTGTGTTCCCTCAGGGTGCGAGTACGCTACCAGAAGAGGCAGAAGCTACAATTTGAGACCAAACTGGGGATGAACTCTCCCTTCTGAGGATCTTTGAGAGACAGGGAAAGAATGAGGGACACGGCGTGGCCCTGAGGAGCCTGGAGACTCCCCCCTTTCATGCTGCATTGCTGCCTTCACTGGCAGTGAGGGCAGCTGGTCCAAGGCACTTGAGAGCCGCCTGTTTCTCACTCAGCCAGAAAAGAGTCTGCCCCAGCCCTCCTCTGCTCTCCACACACTGAACACTAATGATGCCGTGTTGCCAGAGGGAGGAGGGGAGAGTAACGCTGTTGGTATTTTTACGTGATATATCATTTTTTTGTATTTTAACAATTGTTAGGTTGTAGAGGAAAAGCCCAAAGCATTCTGACCAAAACCTATATTTTGTCTATATAAAGGAAAAAAAAAACAGCCAATGAATCCAGAATGTTTTCAGGGGAAGAATGGGGCTTGGTTCAAATGCTTGTTCCTTCTTTCCTGTCTTCACTGCCTGTTTACAGCCCCATCATGAGGAGAGCTTGAGTACTGCATGGAGTGGTAAATGACTGATGGCATGAGCCCTGACTCATGCTCATGAGCAAGCAGATTGGGAGAAAGAAACTAATTTCTGAGCCACGCTGGCCTGAAATTAGGTCTTTTCCTCTTTAATAACTGTGCACAGATTAATGAGCGCCACTTCATAGAGAATGCCTTTTTTGTGAAACTGGCGTTCGTTTAATACCCGAGTTGTAGCTCTGCGATCAAGCTTTTCAAACCCCAGTCAGTGATGCAGTAAAGCACAGCTCTCTGAAAGTTTCACAGTCTACATACCTCTCCTTTGGTTTGGAAATACGACTCTTAGCAGGGTAAATGTAAAATAGAGCCTTATACTATTTTGAAAGCACTGCGTATTGCTCCTGCAAATGGTAATGAATTTTTCTGTCATTTTTTTGATAGATTTTTACCATAAAGGGTTGAAGTCTAAATTACTTCATTTTCAAAGACGTCTTCTCTCATGCACTGTTTATACTGAACTGGGAATAGTGGTGGCCCCCTCATCCCAGCTAAAGTGTACATCAAAAGATCATTTCTGTAGCTTTCAACATTGAGTTTCTTTTCCACAAAGTACCATATCTACCTGGGCATTGTCAATCATTTCATGCGCATACCCTAGTGGGTTCAGGCTAAGGCTCAAATCTGGCAGTGCCTCCAGTAAATTGTACTATAGAGATGAAATGTCAACACAGACTCAAGATATGCATTGATTTGTCTGATTGATGTGTTTTTTGTTGAGGAATGTTTATTGTTAATTTTGTTGCAAAAAATATATATTTATTGATACTGAAAACTTGAGAGAAGTCATCTTTTGTTGTGTAGTATTATATTTAACTGAAAATAGATCATCACGGTGTTATTTGCAAAGAAACGGGCATTGTTACTGCAAGAGCTATAGCTACCAAAGGGGAAAGTGCTTACAAGCTAAAAACTTGTAATTTTTGTGTCTCAAAGGTCTTTAGTTGTTGGAGGCTTTTGAGTTCAGTGATTTGGATCAGTAGTTGTGGATCTGTCTTACTGCAACTTTCAAGGATGTTGTAAAATAGGTTGATGTTGTCTTTTATTTGAATATGTTAAAATTTTATGAACTTTGAAATGTAAAAAAACTTGAGTAACATGCCAACTAAAAAAAGCCCTTTCATGGCTTTGGATTTTAATCTCTTTACTCTCCATCATGGAAGTCTTTAAACTCCTGCAACTTTCCTTCAAGTTCCTTAAAATTGAAACAGGTTAGTAACAGACAGTGACAACAAAAGGCAAAGTTCTCTGTGAAGTACACGTCCTTCACTGTGTTGGTCGTACCACTTAGAGTATCGTGCATGATTTTGTGACTTTTTTTTTTCTCTCCAGTGGAATTGAGCTCAGTTTATATTGTACTGTATTTGAGAGTTAGTTTGCCTCTGCATGCATCTGTCCATCAGTACTGTATATTGGGACCTTCAGGCAAGAGCTCTCAAGCCTTTTATTTTTTGCTTTGCTGGCATGTTTTGCTGTTTTTATCGGATGTTATAAATATTTAATGAGGGATGCCAAAATAACCCTTAAAAATGAGAAAAGGATAAATCCTTTTACTTGACTTCAGACTGTAAAAGGCTATCTATTCCTTTTCAAGTGGCAATATCTAATACAAGGATAAGGGGGAGCTGGAGTCTAGCTAAGCAAGCAGTGGATGCCAGTCCATCGCAGGGCAGACAGACGCACATACAGTCACACTAGAGCCAAGTAACCTACTGTACCACTATTTGGACTGTGAAGAAGCCGGAGAACCTGAAAGAAATACCGTGACTCATGAGGACAGCAGCCCAGGAATTGAAAACCAGCACCCCAGTGCTGTGAGGCAGCAATACTAACCCTTGCACCACAGTATCGGTAAAGATTATGATCTCAGCCTGCCATACTTGAGGTAAAATTGGAAAAGAAAACATGCTCTCACTTAAGGTATATTCTGAACTTTCATTTGCTATTTTTAATGTCTTTGGGCAATTTATGTATATGGTTTATAACCCTTACACAGAAGCTTTGGCCTGGCTAGAAGCCACCTAGACTACAGCAGAGTTCGTGTACTATTGCGACGTTTACCAGCTGTCATGTGATGACTGCCACATGGGTTGTGCTAGATGTGTTCAATTAAATGCAAAGAGTTTAAGTTATGAGCTGATCACAGCTTTTGGGAAAAGCATTGTTCAATCAGACATTACAAAGGTGTTGGCAAGAAGTTAGTGTTGTTACTGGACTTTCTTGTGCTGCTAGCGCAGTAAAATGTTTTGAAAATGTCAGTTTGAAATGCTCTAATTCCCTGTTGTGCAAAAGACTCCGCCGTGGCTGACTAATGGTGGCAGGTGTCCCTGTACCAGACAAGCTGACCCAGCTCTTTGCTTCCTTCCTGTGATATTTTAATAAACCAGCAGCAAGGGCAATGCAGCACATACATTTTATTCAAATGGAAAAAGAGGGCAGTAGCAGCTCTGTTTCCTGCCTCTTTTGATGCTCTTGCTACATGGTCTCGTCTCATTTCTTTGCCAATTACAGGATAAAGGTTGTTAATGATTTTTTTTAGAATTTAGTTTTCAATGAAATGTGCTCTCCTTAATTTGTAACCTGATCTAGATCTGAGCCAGGATCTCATTAATACCTCCACCATAAATTGATTTTAAAATCAAAGCTCTCAAAGTTGCAAAGCATGGGGCATCTGGTATAGTACTGCATTCTTAAAGGAATATCATTTCCTTTACCTTTTCAAATGTTGGCTATGGCTATGAAGAGGTGAAAAAAAAAACAGCTCTTGTAAATCTTATTTCAGCTTCTTATGAAAAAGACATCTTTGGGCAGTGTGGTTACCCTTCTTGTATGCTGCTGCATATTGTCAAGGATACTGGAGCCCACGCTGCACAAACCCTTTTCTTCTTATACTTACCTTCATTCTTCACATTTTAGATTCTTGAGCTGTGATGCTGGAACATGCAAAAACCAGATTCACCTTTGACCTGATGTGCCTGATCTTTTGTCATTCATGCTTCACTAAGGAAGGTCTCTGTATCAACAACTCAATAAACAGAAACTCCACTATTTCAGTGTTATTTTAAAATGTTGGAAATAAGAAAGCAGGAGTTAGGGAACAAATAGGACCAGAAGAGAGTTTTAAAAATGACAAAGATACATCAGCCACACATGCACTTCAGGCTTCAAGCTCCAAATCTCTGCCTTGTCCCACCATGAACTCTGTTCAGGCTCAACAGGCTATGCTGCTGTGTCATTCTAGCAGGGATGTACTGTACAGGATTATAGGCACAAAACCTGCAATGACAATTTTGTTCACGTGATAGATTTAAAAAATGGTGTATATTTTATAATAAAGTCTCAGTGTAAAATTTTATGATTGAGAATTTGTTTAAAATGTTAATAAAGATGGTTCTTTTTAATTTTTTATTTACAAATAAAATATTTTTGTGGCTGTTTCTTATCTCTCTTGGCTGTTCCTCATCAGGAGTTAGGTAACACCCCTGTACCTACAGTATCTTTCTGGTTCTGTTGCCAACCAAGAATACATTTTCTCATACACCCAACACTAAATTTTAAGAAGCCCCTCTTTAACTACAACTAGAAAAAGCAATCTGGAGAAGCAATGTACTCTAGCATGTTTGGAGATACAGTATCTGCATCTATTCCTGTAGGTTCACCAAGATAGCTCAGCAAGGGAATCTCTTCACAAATGAGCCATGATGGTCAGATGGGGAAAATGCCTCACTCACGAGCTATTCACTCGCTTAACACATTTCAATGGAGTTAGAAACAAAGGTTCTGGAGAGATGATAGTGATTTCTGCACATAAAAAGTTGATAGATACTACATAATCACCTTCTCTTCCTGCCATTTATCTTTTGCATCCCTCCTCTATCCCATCTCCAGCTGTACATGTGACCCCTTGGTCCTCTCTCAGCATGGTCCAAGCCCCCTCCTCTTCTAGCCAGGAGGATGGCCCTCAGCCAAGCGAGATAAACCAAATTTGCTTTGAATAAAACACTACAATCTTTTGTTTGCCTCATCACAAGGTGTGCAAATAACCTTAAACCTTCTACAACCTTGCCATTAACCTCATTGAAGAACTTCTCACAGCAGAAGACATGAACATTTGATTTTCAAAAAAACTTGTACTGTAACTAGCCACCCTTGTCCCCACAAATCAAGCCCACTTTCCCCTAAAATCAAAATTCTTAGTTAAAAAATCCTTTCGGCATTTGCCTTCATCAAAATTGAGCTTTTTCATAGGTCATCACTAGATGAGCATCATTTCAAAATGTTTTGCTGTTCACCATCATAAACACCCTCCTTATACTCTAAAACAAAGTTCTCCATTTTAATGTTAAGTTCTGCCAAATATGCTTGTACCTAGCAGTTTAAAATCTGTTCACCATTTACAACAACTGTTGCATTAAGCATTAAATTATCAATTTTTCAGACAATTCAAGAGATGCATCTCTCCCAACATGAGGATTTGAGACACATTTTATAATAAATCCAAACCCCAAGAATTAATTAACAGAGGTATAATAGATTTAGATGTAACAGACTATTCACATGGTAACAATTATAAATTAAGTTTCCCGAAAATAAGTGTTTTCTATGGTATTTTCTGAGCAACATAAATAAAAACATGGAGCAAACATGTAAGAAAATCCCAATTACTTTCTCACACAATGTACTGTATATAATTATATTTAAACATTTCAAACAAGAGGAAAAGAACAAGAAAAAAAAAACATCTCCAGTGCCAAACCAGCACACAGATAATTCAAACCATAAACACTGCGACTCATGTACACAGTGGTGCATTTTTCCTTAGCGAGACCTTTCCTGCAATTCTCAAATATTCATGTGTTACTAATATCACTGCAACAAAACAACCGCAAGGGTCTCTAAGGAAACAAGAATGGAGTGTGTACCAGAAGAGACAGAGGTACCCAGAGCTGAGCCCTGGAACGCCAATCTTGGAAACAGACGGATGAGGCAGCAAGTCTGCCTACAGTACGTATATATTCAAACATTCCAAAATGAGAGAAACAAAACGCATCAAAAAAATCCCCACCGCCAAAAACACAGCACTGGGATAATTAGAACCATAAAACTAAAGACTTGCATGTACAGCAGCTCATATTTTTCACACAGTGAAGACCAATACAACAGGATGGAATACTGTAACAATCTGTTCTGAAATGAAGAAAAGTGGAGTCGCTCCATTACGACTTCCATGTGTCTTTAGAGTAAAGCACACACAGAGGCACACCCTTCCCATTGTGCACAGTAAACAAAACGAACACACTCTTTGCCTGTGACTGTCTCTCAAGAGGTTCCTGCTTCACAGTGAGGGATGGCAGTATTGAAACCTTGCACTGTAGCCCCAGGGACTGGCCTTACACAGCTCCAGAGCTGAAGGACAGGGGGCTGACACAGGAGGTTCCACAGGCAAACGAGGGAACACTTCTCACGATTGTCTGAAAGTCCAAAAAGAAAAAGACGGAGAGCACCGAGCCTCAGGTGCACTTGGTTCTGCTCTTCTGCCATGGCTGTGGCACAAGCACGCTGGGGTCAAGGTTCAGTCAGACTGCAAAACTTCATTTGTTGTCAGCAGGGGGCGCCGTGTGAATCCCCGACACACTGGAGAGAGGAAGAGAAGTGTTTTGAAGGTAAACTGTCTGCTGCCTGGATGTGATGGGTGTAAAAGAGGCACAAAGTAAAAAAAAATATATTTTATATAATTTGCCCCAAAATATAATTTGACAGAGGCAAGGACAAGGAAAATCCTGCTCATCATGAATGCAGTTGTTCAGCTATAAAATCACACCACTGAAATTTCCAGCACAAATATACTTCAACTGCTTCTGAATGTTAAATTACACATATAAACAAGAAACTATCAATGTTATAAAATATTATCTAACTCTGGCTATAACTGCATTATTGTAGAATTATCCCAGCATTCTAGACAGAGTGCAAAACAACTCATGAAGTACAATAAGAAATAATAATGGAGCTCAGTTATTAATGGGAACTCACAGGATTCCATGGAGCTCTGGGGCTCCATTTGTAGTAATTTTAATTTAGAAAAAAACTCAGTATAATTCCCATATGTGTTGGCTTGTTACGTCTTCATACTAATAGTGATTAATGTTCAATCCAGTAGCTATATAAATAATATTGAACTGATTTTATGATGTTTCAATGAAAAAATCTATCTGGCAACTAGCAATTATTTGATAAATACATACAGATGGATGTACATGTACAATTCATGAGTAAAATAAATGAGTGCTGAATGAAAAATAATGTCTGAAATTTTTATGTTTTAGCCTTGTGTGGACTAAAAGTCCACAAATACCACTTATCTCCATTTTTAATTTTTTTATGTTTTTTTAGTTAGCCTTGGCTATCTAGTAACACACTATATGTTACACAGATTTAACACTTAACTGTATTCCAGCATTACGCACAGTGTAGGTCTGATCACAGACAATGATGAGAGGGCCTGCAGGGAGGAGGTCAATCTCCTTACAATGACAACAACCTCACCCTCAACTTCAGCAAAACCAAAGAGCTGATCGTTGATTTCAGGAAACTGCAAACTGGACATGCCCCTATCCACATCAATGGGACTGAAGTGGAAAGGGTCAGTAACTTTAAATTCCTTGGCGTCCATATCACCGAGGACCTCACATGATCTCTCTGTCTGATCAACGCCACCTGTCTGATCAAGAAAGCGCAGCAGCGCCTGTACTTCCTAAGACGGTTGAAGAAGGCTAAGATATGTCCCTAGATCCTCACTAGCTTTAACAGATGCGGTACAGAAAGCACACTGACAGGCTGCATCACAGTGTGGTATGGCAACTGCAGTGCTGCTGACTGCAAAGTCCTACAGCGGGGGGTGAAAACTGCCCAGTCCATCACTGGGGTTGCCCTCCCATCTATACAGGACATTTATGACAGACGGTGCTTGAGGAAAGCTCTAAGCATCATCAAGGACCCCACACACCCCAGCTACAGACTTTATGATCTGCTACCATCAGGAAAACGGTACCGGAGCATTCGGGCCCGGACTACCAGACTCAGTTTTTACCCCCATACTATCAAACTATTAAATCCCAGCCTCTCTCACTCTCACCTCACACCTATGATCTGAACCTCACAGTGCCTTCTTTCTTACCAAAAACCCAAACACACATTGAAAATCTACCTCTACCATACATGTCACAAGCTCACTCCCCATCATTTCTATCCCTTTATTTCATTCTGTTGATGCATGTTTTTGCACATAACCTGTTTCCTTTTTGCTGTTTTGTAGCGTCTGTTGTTGTTTCTTGCACATCGTCTGTTGTCTCTGTTTTTCTTTGTTATACAATTGTATTGTTGTTTTTTTTCTTTGTACTACTTATGTCCGAGAGCTAATTAAATAGCATTTCGTTATACCATATACCTGTATATGAGTATAATGACGAACTTGAACAAATATGGCACAGTTGATATACAAAGTCCACACACCCTTATTGAAATTGCAGGTTTTTGTGATGTAAAGCCAGATATAAAAATAAATCATGTCAGACATTTTTCCATCTTTAATGTGACCTTGCAACCAACAAAATTCAAGAGAAAAAAAGTAGATAATCAGGAAAAATAATTGAAATTAAAAAACCTACAACACCCTGGTTGCATAAGTGTGCACCCCCCCCCACCAACTAATACTTTGTGGGAGCACCCTTTGCATTTATTACAGCAGTAAGTCTTTGTGTACAAGAATTACAGCGGCATGGATACGTGCAGAGCACAATTTTTCCCTGGGAAAAAAAATAACCAGAAAAAATACCTTTGGTCTTTGGTTTCAGATTGATTCATCTTCAATGATATCATCCCCACTCCCGGAAATGGAGGCGATTTCTGAAAGACACAAGACTCGGTAAGACCAATCTCTTCCTTCACCTGGCCTGTGAAAGGGCCCCACACACTAGGCATGGGGGGGACTGGAGAACATCTTCAGAAAATAATCATGGTTGCTCCAGTGTGCTGCTTTCCTATGGAATTCAGAGGAACAAGAATCTGTGCTCAGGTGTGCAGGGGACCCTAAAGGGAAATCACACGACACAATGAGAAGGAGCACCCCAGGTATTCTACACAGCCCAACCCCAGTGCACCTTTTACCAGTGTCTCTTACATGCACCCTGTCTATAATAAAACTTATCTTAATACTGAATCCAGACCTCCACACAGGTTAGCTCCAGGCACTACAGAAAAAGTAGGTTCTATTTGGTAGCATGGCTAGCAACATGGCACCCACTGTACTTTTATTACCAATCTGGGACTGACCGAACTCTCAGAATCAATATTTCTCATACAAATTTTAAACAAACTTCCAGACCATCTAACTGGAAAAAAGAACCTTCCTGTTTCAGTTCTAACTGCACTTTCCTGTAAGTCCTCTTGACCTGATGATCCTCTGAATTGCAATTTGATTTATTAGTAAAGGCTACTGTATATAAAAGAAACAGACTATAAAACATTTGTAGACAGATTGTCAACAACTATTTAAACAGATTCAGGATTAGTTTAAGGAACTTGTCACGTTAACTGAAGCACAGTTCAGCTGTGCTAGAAATGGGAACACTTCAACAGTATACATTTCTGCAGGTAAACATATCGCATCCTATGAGATAAAGCATATTTCACAGAACAGGCTATATGATGATGAGTAGAAACCAGTTTGGTCAACACTGATAGTCAAGAATATCAAACTGATGGAAAATACTTGCTCTGGCACCAAGAACAGAGTAAGGCAGACGTGCTCCTCCTTCCTGTCACCCAATCATTCAAGCTAGTCATTATCTGATACACTAAGATCTCCACAGTACCTCACAGGAGATTTAGCAACAATTAAAGGAGCAGCACACAGCCACTGACATCACTCCAAG